TGTGGAGGATCTTTTTGCTGATAAACATATTCAGGTAAGATCAGGCAACGCTTTTGAGGGAGCAGTTGGTACAGGTTTCAGAAGACCTGAAATATCAACAGCTGTGCTATATGTGGGCTCCTGCTACTTACTTTTTGGTTTCTGGCACAGGTAACCCAGATGGGAGGGTTCTTGTGAGTGCAATAAATAACTTCATGCCACCTCTCAATGTTTCACACACTATGGGTGAGGGAAGGTGGGTAGGTTTAGGAAAGTATGTGAGGAATACAGCAAAACAAGCACATTAGTGACTCTGCATAATTTCAAACAGTACCTTATAAGGTCAGGACTATGTTCCTTTACTGTTTCAGGGTAGTCTCATTTTGAATTTTCTTAACCTAAGTTCGTTAATACAGAACTGTACTTCTGACTCTTAGGTGTCTCTGGAACCTTGAAATTTTTTTTGGTGTTACTGGGGTTTGAATTCAGGGCTTTCAGCTTGCTAGGCTAGCACTCTATCATTAGAGCCTCCAAGTTATTTATTTATTTATTTTTTTTATTTTTTTCATTTTTCTTTTATTATTCATATGTGCATACAAGGCTTGGGTCATTTCTCCCACCTGCCCCCACCCCCTCCCTTACCACCCACTCCGCCCTCTCCCTCTCCCCCCCCTCAATACCCAGCAGAAACTATTTTGCCCTTATTTCTAATTTTGTTGTAGAGAGAGTATAAGCAATAATAGGAAGGAACAAGGGTTTTTGCTGGTTGAGATAAGGATAGCTATACAGGGCATTGACTCACATTGATTTCCTGTGCGTGGGTGTTACCTTCTAGGTTAATTCTTTTTGATCTACCCTTTTCTCTAGTTCCTGGTCCCCTTTTCCTATTGGCCTCAGTTGCTTTAAGGTATCTGCTTTAGTTTCTCTGCATTAAGGGCAACAAATGCTAGCTAGTTTTTTAGGTGTCTTACCTATCCTCACCCCTCCCTTGTGTGCTCTCGCTTTTATCATGTGCTCATAGTCCAATCCCCTTGTTGTGTTTGCCCTTGATCTGATGTCCACATATGAGGGAGAACATACGATTTTTGGTCTTTTGGGCCAGGCTAACCTCACTCAGAATGATGTTCTCCAATTCCATCCATTTACCAGCGAATGATAACATTTCGTTCTTCTTCATGGCTGCATAAAATTCCATTGTGTATAGATACCACATTTTCTTAATCCATTCGTCAGTGTGGGGCATCTTGGCTGTTTCCATAACTTGGCTATTGTGAATAGTGCCGCAATAAACATGGATGTGCAGGTGCCTCTGGAGTAACAGTCTTTTGGGTATATCCCCAAGAGTGGTATTGCTGGATCAAATGGTAGATCGATGTCCAGCTTTTTAAGTAGCCTCCAAATTTTTTTCCAGAGTGGTTGTACTAGTCTACATTCCCACCAACAGTGTAAGAGGGTTCCTTTTTCCCCGCATCCTCGCCAACACCTGTTGTTGGTGGTGTTGCTGATGATGGCTATTCTAACAGGGGTGAGGTGGAATCTTAGTGTGGTTTTAATTTGCATTTCCTTTATTGCTAGAGATGGTGAGCATTTTTTCATGTGTTTTCTGGCCATTTGAATTTCTTCTTTTGAGAAAGTTCTGTTTAGTTCACTGCCCATTTCTTTATTGGTTCATTAGTTTTGGGAGAATTTAGTTTTTTAAGTTCCCTATATATTCTGGTTATCAGTCCTTTGTCTGATGTATAGTTGGCAAATATTTTCTCCCACTCTGTGGGTGTTCTCTTCAGTTTAGAGACCATTTCTTTTGATGAACAGAAGCTTTTTAGTTTTATGAGGTCCCATTTATCTATGCTATCTCTTAGTTGCTGTGCTGCTGGGGTTTCATTGAGAAAGTTCTTACCTATACCTACTAACTCCAGAGTATTTCCTACTCTTTCTGTATCAACTTAAGAGTTTGGGGTCTGATATTAAGATCCTTGATCCATTTTGAGTTAATCTTGGTATAGGGTGATATACATGGATCTAGTTTCAGTTTTTTGCAGACTGCTAACCAGTTTTCCCAGCAGTTTTTGTTGAAGAGGCTGCTATTTCTCCATCGTATATTTTTAGCTCCTTTGTCAAAGATAAGTTGGTTATAGTTGTGTGGCTTCATATCTGGTCCTCTATTCTGTTCCACTGGTCTTCATGTCTGTTTTTGTGCCAGTACCATGCTGTTTTTATTGTTATTGCTTTGTAATATAGTTTGAAGTCAGGTATTGTGATACCTCCTGCATTGTTCTTTTGACTGAGTATTGCCTTGGCTATTCGTGGCCTCTTGTGTTTCCATATAAATTTAACAGTAGATTTTTCAATCTCTTTAATGAATGTCATTGGAATTTTGATGGGAATTGCATTAAACATGTAGATTACTTTGGGAGTATCGACATTTTTACTATGTTGATTCTACCAATCCATGAGCATGGGAGATCTCTCCACTTTCTATAGTCTTCCTCAATCTCTTTCTTCAGAAGTGTATAGTTTTCCTTGTAGAGGTCTTTCACATCTTTTGTTAGGTTTACACCTAGGTATTTGATTTTTTTGAGGCTATTGTAAATGGAATTGTTTTCATACATTCTTTTTCAGTTTGCTCATTGTTAGTGTATAGAAATGCTAATGATTTTTCTATGTTGATTTTATATCCTGCTACCTTGCTATAGCTATTGATGATGTCTAGAAGCTTCTGAGTAGAGTTTTTTGGGTCTTTAAGGTATAGGATCATGTCGTCTGCAAATAGGGATATTTTGACAGTTTCTTTACCTATTTGTATTCCTTTTATTCCTTCTTCTTGCCTAATTGCTCTGGCTAGGAATTCCAGTACTATGTTGAATAGGAGTGGAGATAGTGGGCATCCTTGTCTGGTTCCTGATTTTAGAGGGAATGGTTTCATTTTTCTCCGTTAAGTATAATGCTGGCTGTAGGTTTGTCATATATAGCTTTTATAATGTTGAGGAACTTTCCTTCTATTCCTAGTTTTCTTAGAGCTTTTATCATGAAATGATGTTGGATCTTATCAAAGGCTTTTTCTGCATCTATTGAGATGATCAAGTGGTTTTTGTCTTTGCTTCTGTTAATGTGGTTTATTACGTTTATTGATTTTCGTATGTTGAACCACCCCTGCATCCCTGGGATGAAGCCTACTTGGTCGTGGTGAATAATCTTTTTGATGTGTTGCTGAATTCGGTTTGCCATTATTTTGTTGAGGATTTTTGCATCAATGTTCATTAAGGAGATTGGCCTATAGTTCTCCTTTTTGGAGGTGTCTTTGCCTGGTTTTGGGATAAGTGTAATACTGGCTTCATAAAATGTGTTTGGCAGTTTTCCTTCCCTTTCTATTTCATGGAACAGTTTAAGGAGGGTTGGTATCAGTTCTTCTTTAAAGGTCTGATAGAATTCAGCAGAGAATCCATCAGGTCCTGGACTTTTCTTTTTGGGGAGACTCTTGATTGCTGCTTCAATTTCATTTTGTGTTATAGGTCTATTCAGGTGATTAATTTCCTCTTGGTTCAGTTTTGGATGATCATATGTATCTAGAAATCTGTCCATTTCTTTTAGATTTTCAAATTTATTTGAATATAGGTTCTCAAAGTAGTCTCTGATGATTTCCTGGACTTCCATGGTGTTTGTTGTTATCTCCCCTTTTGCATTCCTGATTCTACTAATTTGGGTTTTTTCTCTCCTCATTTTAGTCAGGTTTGCCAGGGGTCTATCGATCTTGTTTATTTTTTCAAAGAACCAACTTTTTGTTTCATTAATTCTTTGTATGGTTTTTTTGGTTTCTATTTCGTTGATTTCAGCTCTTATTTTTATTATTTCTCTCCTTCTATTTGTTTTGGGATTTGCTTGTTCTTGTTTTTCTAGGAGTTTGAGATGTATCATTAGGTCATTGATTTGGGATCTTTCAATCTTTTTAATATATGCACTCATGGCTATAAACTTTCCTCTCAAGACTGCCTTAGCTGTGTCCCATAGGTTCCGGTAGGTTGTGTTTTCATTTTCATTGACTTCCAGGAACTTTTTAATTTCCTCTTTTATTGCATCGATGATCCATTCTTCATTAAGTAATGAGTTATTTAGTTTCCAGCTGTTTGCATGTTTTTTGTCTTTACTTTTGTTGTTGAGTTCTACTTTTACTGCATTGTGGTCAGATAGTATGCATGGTATTATTTCTATTTTCTTATATTTGCTGAGGCTTGCTTTGTGCCCTAGGATATGATCTATTTTGGAGAAGGTTCCATGGGCTGCTGAGAAGAATGTATATTGTGTAGAGGTTGGATGAAATGTTCTGTAGACATCTACTAGGTCCACTTGATCTATTGCATATTTTAGATCTTGGATTTCTTTATTGAGTTTTTGTTTGGATGACCTATCTATTGATGATAATGGGTGTTAAAGTCTCCCACAACCACTGTGTTGGCGTTTATATATGCTTTTAGGTCTTTCAGGGTATGTTTGATGAAATTGGGTGCGTTGACATTGGGTGCATACAGATTGATGATTATTATTTCCTTTTGGTCTATTTCCCCTTTTATTAGTATGGAATGTCCTTCTTTATCTCGTTTGATCAATGTAGGTTTGAAGTCTACTTTGTCAGAGATAAGTATTGCTACTCCTGCCTTGTTTTCGGGGCCATTGGCTTGGTAAATCTTCTTCCAGCCTTTCATCCTAAGCATATGCTTATTTCTGTCGGTGAGATGAGTCTCCTGTAAGCAACAAATTGTTGGATCTTCTTTTTTAATCCATTTGTCAAACGGTGTCTTTTGATGGGTGAATTAAGTCCATTAACATTAAGTGTTAGTACTGATAGGTATGTGGTGATTCCTGCATTTAGTTGTCTTAGTTGTTTGAAGGTTTGATTGTGTGTACCTAACTTGATGTTACTCTCTACTGTCTTGCTTTTTTTTTCCTGTGGTTTGGTGCTGCCTGCCTTTTCATGGTTAAGTTGGGTGTCACTTTCTGTGTGCAGATCCCTTGCAGAATCTTTTGTAATGGTGGCTTTGTGGTCACATATTGTTTTAGTTTCTGCTTATCATGGAAGACTTTTATTGCTCCATCTATTTTGAATGATAGCTTTGCTGGGTAGAGTATCCTGGGGTTGAAGTTATTTTCATTCAGTGCCCGGAAGATCTCACCCCACGCTCTTCTTGCTTTTAATGTTTCTGTTGAGAAGTCTGCTGTGATTTTGATGGGTTTACCTTTGTATGTTACTTGTTTTTTCTCTCTTACAGCCTTCAATATTCTTTCCTTAGTTTCTGAACTTGTTGTTTTAATGATGATATGTCGTGGAGTAGTTCTATTTTGATCTGGTCTGTTTGGTGTCCTGGAGGCCTCTTGCATTGTATGGGAATATCTTTCTCTAGATTTGGGAAATTTTCCGTTATTATTTTGTTGAATATATTACGCATTCCCTTCGCTTGCACCTCTTCTCCTTCTTCGATGCCCATGATTCTCAAGTTTGGTCTTTTGATGGAGTCAGTGAGTTCTTGCATTTTCTTTTCACAGGTCTTGAGTTGTTTAATTAATAGTTCTTCAGTTTTTCCTTTAATTACCATTTCATCTTCAAGTTCTGAGATTCTGTCTTCTGTTTGTTCTATTCTGCTGGATTGGCCTTCCGTTTTGTTTTGCAGTTCTGTTTCGTTCTTTTTTCTGAGGTTTTCCATATCCTGGCTGTTTTCTTCTTTATGTTGTCTATTTTTGTCCTGAGTTCATTTATCCATTTATTCATTGTGTTCTCTCTTTCACTTTGGTGTTTATACAGTGCTTCTATGGTTTCCTTTATTTCTTCTTTTGCTTTTTCAAATTCTCTATTTTTATTGTCTTGGAATTTCTTGAGTGTCTCCTGTACATTTTGGTTGACCCTATCCAGTATCATCTCTATAAAATTCTCATTGAGTACTTGTAGTATGTCTTCTTTTAAATTATTCTTGTGGGCTTCATTGGGTCCTTTGGCATAGTTTATCTTCATTTTGTTGGAGTCTGGATCTGAGTTTCTGTTCTCTTCATTCCCCTCTGGTTCCTGTACTAATTTTTTGCTGTGGGGAAACTGGTTTCCCTGTTTTTTCTGTCTTCCGTCATTGTCCTTGGTGTTGTTACTGTCCCTGTACTGTGTGCAATTAAGTATTTTCTAGCTTGTAATAATAACAATGGTAATATTTAGAATGGAAGTGAGCTGAGATGGAAAGCAAGAAGTTAAAGAAAAGGGGAAAACAAATAACAGACAAGAGGAGAAAGCAGAACAAGGTATCAGACAAGAGAGTTTCAAAGGTATAAACAGGGAGTGTTAGTGTACTAATCGACAGTAAGCTGAACAGACATTAGAGAGACAGAGAGAGGATTGAAAATCAAAGATAAAAAAAATAAGTAAATGAAAGAATATCTATATATAAAATGAATTAAAATAAAATGGAAAATAGAAAATTAAAAAAAAAAAAAAAAAACTTCCAAGTTTATATGCAATGCAGTTTCAGTCTTAATAATTTGGTGTCCGTCTCAATCTCCAGTCCTGGAGTTGGTGCCTCAGATGTTGTTCTGTAGTTGTCTCATCAAAGGGGATGCATAAAGTAGAACAAAACTACACACACACACACACACACACACACACACACACACAAAAAAAAACCCCCCACCAAGTGTCCCAGTTCAAATGCAATACAGTTTCAGTAAGTTTTTCGCTTGCAGGTGTAATTCGGTTGTTCTCTCATCAAAGGTAGGGAGAAAAAGAAAAAAAAGCGTCTGGAGACAGTTCTGAGAGTGGTATCTGCAACTGTGGCTTGCCTGCCTGCTGCTCTCAGCCTGTAGCTGGCGGTGTTATTTATGCAGATCTCTGGGGTGAGCTTAGCACTCACCTGGTCCCACAGGCTTTGTTTGCTCAGAGTTCTCCTGTGCGGGAGCCTCTGCTACAGGCTTTCCCCTTTCCAAGCACTGGGAAAGGTGACACTGCCCCCGCGTTGTCAGGCCTGCGTGTTTATTTACAGTTCATGTGGGAGGTGGGTCTTCCCCCCTCTCCTGTGCGGTTTTCCTCCCACCGCCACTTTCACAAGCTTTCCTGCTCCTGCTTACTGGGCGGTGCTGCTGCTCCTGCCGGCCGCCATGTTTGTTTACAGTTCACGTGGGAAGTGGGTCTTCCCTCCTCTCACACGCGTCCTGCTCCTGGTTGCTGGGCGCGCCCCGCTCCCGCCAGAGGCTCTCCGGCCGCCCGGCTTGTTTATTTACAGTCCCGGGAAGGATTCCCTTCCCCCAATCTTCAGCGCTCAGGGCGCCCCACCCTCTTTCCAGTGTGTCTTAACTGTTCTTATTGCTTATTACTCAGTTTCTCTTTTTTTCCCGGGTGGAGGTCAGTCTGTCCAGGGGGTTATGCTGCTCTGGCCCAGGCTGGTCTGTGGGGCTACCGCGGTACCACGAAGCTCACCTGGTCCACTTCTTCCCAAGCCGTATGGGCGCTGGCCACTGGCGGCGCGGGGGCCCTCCTCATTTCTCTGTTTAACGTGAAGTGGAGATTCTCTGCGCCGGCTGGAGATGTGGAGGGGTCATAGTTGTGCCTTTTCTCGGTGATTATGCCTACAAAGTGTGTCTTCAGCGTCTAAGATTTCACTATAGGAGGGTCGCTTTTTGCTTCCTACCTCTAGCCGCCATCTTGGAATCTTCCCAAGTTATTTTTTGAGTAGGGTCTTGCTTTTCTTGCCCAGACCAGTATGGACTGCAGTCTTACTTTAAAGCCTCCCATGTAGCTTAGTTGGCAAGCACACGCTACTATTCCCAACTTTTTTCATTGAGATGTGTTCTTCTGGCTGACTAGAAGGAGAACACAAGCCAGAAGGGACCAGGGACAAAATGCTTACCCCTAGTGACCTACTTTCTCCAGCTGAGTCTCACATCTAAAGTTTCTAGAACTTCCCAAAGTAACCACCACCTGCTGGGAACCACACATTCAAAACATGAGCCTGTGGGGGACATTTCATAATCAAACCATAACATCCCTGTCCTGTTCCACTAGAAGTTCCGAAGCCAGAGAAGTCATGTTTGCTATCCTCATTACCCTGCCTTGCCTCTGCAGGTTTTAGTTTCCACTGCAACTCTGGCCTGGGGTGTGAATCTCCCTGCCCATACAGTCATCATAAAAGGCACCCAAGTGTACAGTCCAGAGAAGGGGCGTTGGACAGAACTGGGAGCACTGGACATTTTGCAGGTATAGAGCCTTCAAGGGTATTTTTCAGTGCTATGACTATTCTGTGCCTGGAGTACAAGGGTGCTGGAAAGATGGCAGAGTGAAGGCTGAGTTCTGCAACATAGAATTCCTGAGTCAAAATTAGAAGCTCTGCTGTTACAGCATTCTTCCTTTGCTATGTCTGACTTAGATGCTGGGACGAGCTGGACGACCCCAGTATGACACCAAAGGCGAAGGCATTCTCATCACATCTCATGGGGAGCTACAGTACTACCTGTCTCTCCTTAACCAGCAGCTTCCTATTGAGAGCCAGATGGTATCAAAGCTGCCTGACATGCTTAATGCGGAAATTGTGCTGGGGAATGTCCAGAATGCAAAGGTAGGGGAGGGCTCTGCCCTGGGCACTTCATGCCTTTCCCTGGTGCTTCAGGAGACTGAGGTATCCGAAGTGGGATGGTCCTTATTGTGCTGTGGCCAGCAATGTCCACCCTGCACCTACATCTTATTCAGTGTAAACTCCTTGGTTCTGTTACAGACAGCTCCTCTTATTTTCAAGGTCTTCAAAAGGACAGTCTTTTTATTGATGAAATGCTGTAAACACTCAGAAGACAATATAATATATATCCTTATAGTTGGGAATTAATTTCCAAGCCATCCATGGGAACTTTTCACTGGACGTCAGCAATTCGGTATCCTAAAAACCATGGACTTTCTTGTAGGATGCAGTGAATTGGCTGGGTTATGCCTACCTGTATATTCGAATGCTCCGATCCCCGACTCTCTATGGCATCTCTCATGATGACCTCAAGGGAGATCCCTTGCTGGATCAGCGCCGACTAGATCTGGTTCACACTGCTGCCTTGATGCTTGACAAGAACAATTTGGTCAAGTATGACAAGAAGACAGGCAACTTCCAGGTAAGTGGCATGAGGATTTTGAGGCGAAAGTTTTAGCAAAAGTTGTAGGCCCAGCTGGGCGAGGGTGGCTCATGTCTGTAATCCTAGCTGCTCAGGAGGCGGAGATCAGGAGGATTGCAGTTTGAAGCCAGCCCAGGCAAGTAGTTCGTGAGACTCTATCTCAAAAAAACCCATTACAAAAAAAAAGGGTTGGTGGAATTGTTCAAGGTACAGGCCGAGTTCAAACGCCAGTACCACAAAAAAAAAAAAAAAAAAAAAAAAGTTGTAGGCTCAGGCAAAAATCTTACAGATTACTTGCTTGATTTGAATATTTCTTGTCTCATTGCCTATTGCATAGAACGGATAGACTTCACCTTTAAAACTTGTGAACTTCTAATATGGTGCTTCTTTTTTGATAGTCTGAGTTGAGGTGGATCATTCGGCTATTTTGTTTGTGTGAACATCAGTTCTCTATAGGTCATGTTATTGTACCATCTTTCTTTATGTTTCTGAGTCACTCATACTGTGCAGGCAAGCATTTGTACTGCAAGGAGTTCATTCATTTGTCCTGTTAGGACAGTAATCTGGTGTTCAAGTTAGAGGTTATTAATGTTCAGCACTGCCTCAAGTCTTTCTTTTCTGTAGGTGACAGAACTGGGCCGTATAGCCAGCCACTATTACATTACCAATGATACAGTGCAGACCTATAACCAGCTGCTGAAACCCACTCTGAGTGAGATTGAGCTTTTCCGAGTTTTCTCATTGTCCTCAGAGTTTAAGAACATCACTGTGAGAGAGGTGAGCCTACACAGCATACTAAGAAGGGAAATTGGGAATGCACTGCCAACTTGCTGGATGGCTTCTTTCCTTGACCACTTGGTTTTTCCTTGACCTGTGTCCCCTTGCTGGCAGGAAGAGAAGCTGGAGCTACAGAAGTTGCTGGAGAGGGTGCCCATCCCTGTAAAGGAGAGCATTGAGGAACCCAGTGCAAAGGTTAGTCCTGTCTGCTCTTTGCTTGGTTGTTTTCATAATCTTCTAAAAGGTGAACCTTGAATTTGGGTTCATGCATGGTAACCCACTTAGTTCTTCTACTTTCTTGGTGATGGTGGGGCATTAGACATTGAACCTAGGGCCATGCACATGCTAAACATGCAGTCTACTACTGAGTTATACTTCCAGCCCCAAGTTCTTCTACTTTTTGCATCCTTCTCACATAATCACTTTTGTACAGAGTAACAGTTATTTAATCTCTGTAATTACAGTCAAGACCTGTGGAAGATACTGTCTGGCACATGTGCCCAGAGCAGAAATGCAATTTGCTTTCTTGAATGTTCAATAATTGGCCTACTGCTGTCTGACTTTGCTTCTTTCTAGATCAATGTGCTTCTCCAAGCCTTCATCTCACAGTTGAAATTGGAGGGCTTTGCATTGATGGCTGATATGGTGTATGTTACACAGGTGAGGACAAAGTTGTACTTGGGAGGTGAGCAGGGTCCTAATAGTTTCAGTTGCTTGCGTGCCATGCACATCCTAGAGGAAGGCGGCTTGACACAAGTGAGCTAGAAGGAATACTTAGCTCTGTCTTACCTGGCTAGTTGTTGCCTGTGTGGTTCACCTACTCTGCTCTCCTGATCTTGAGCATGTGTGAAGGGCAGGCCTCAAGAGGAAGTGCTGGGAGGCTCTTTAAGCCCTGAGAGAGACAGGGAGAGCCACGGGATACAGTCTGCTTCCACAAAGGGAAATTCTGTGCTTGTAGGGCTCTTTAATAAATCCAGAAATGGCAAAGGATCTTATTAGCTACTCTTTTGTCTTTACCTGGAAGAGCATGAGAAAGTAGTAATTACAGAGGATATTTTGTCCTTGAGTTGGTGTGGATGATAGCATCGGACCCTGAGGTAATTAAACTGTGTGTAAATGGACTTGGGGATGCTTGAGACTTCACAATGGGAATACTTCATCTTTCCCCAGTCGGCTGGTCGGTTGATGCGGGCAATCTTTGAAATAGTCCTGAATCGAGGTTGGGCACAGCTTACAGACAAGACTCTGAACCTCTGCAAGATGATCGACAAACGCATGTAAGGGTCCAGTGAGCTGTAAACTGGTCATAGTGAGTGAGGCCCCAGACTGAGGGCATGATGGAAAAGTCTCAGAGTGTATTTGATCTGTAGTTCTGATGGTTGAAGTGTGGCATGAACCTGGGTGAGAGTTGAGAAGAGGAAGGGCCCTAGAGAATGGGCCTGGGGAGTTGGGGGAGTGGCAGACACTGTTGGCCCTTTGGCTTCACTACTGGCACAATTTTGAATGTCTTCGTTTAATGGCTTTGTCAATGGCTAAACTTGGAAACTATGATGAAGATAGTATGTTATGGCCCTGAGAAAGGGCAACAACTTTGTCTCCTTCCTGGATAGGTGGCAGTCCATGTGTCCTCTGCGCCAGTTCCGTAAACTCCCTGAGGAGGTAGTGAAGAAGATTGAGAAGAAAAACTTCCCCTTTGAGCGTCTGTACGACTTGAATCATAATGAGATAGGTGTGTAAGGAAGTTCTTGTCCTGTCCTGCAGCCCAGGTGTCTTTCTCTGCTTCTCTAGTCTCCAGCTCCAAGACCTTGTATACTAGTAACCTGTACTCACTTATCACGTCCCACTGAACTATAGGTCCACTCTTGGTCTTGGGACTTTGAATGCTGTGGGTTCCACTGAGACTAAAGGGAAGAATTTGTCTGCTGGTACAGAATCTGCCCCTTTCCCACAGTGGCCTTAAGGCCAATTTATAGGTACGCTAGGCTGGCTGGGCTGCAGCCCCAATATTCTCTCATTTCCTTATAGGGGAGCTTATTCGCATGCCAAAAATGGGGAAGACCATCCACAAGTACGTCCACCTGTTCCCTAAGTTGGAGTTGTCAGTGCACCTGCAGCCTATCACACGTTCCACCTTGAAAGTGGAGCTGACCATCACGCCAGATTTCCAGTGGGATGAAAAGGTTAGACTTTGCTGGGCAGAGGAGCCTGGGTGGGAGGTGCTGAGTTCCCATGCTGGCTCATGTTCCTTTCACCTTTGCTTGTATTGGCAGGTCCATGGTTCATCAGAGGCATTCTGGATTCTGGTGGAGGATGTGGACAGTGAGGTGATACTGCACCATGAATATTTTCTACTCAAGGCCAAATATGCCCAGGATGAGCACCTCATTACATTCTTTGTGCCTGTCTTCGAACCGCTGCCCCCTCAGTACTTCATCCGTGTGGTGTCTGATCGCTGGCTCTGTAAGTGTCTTCTCTCTGGGTTCCCTAGGAATAGGCCTTCCAAGAGAGTGGAAGGATTTCTGTTCTTTGTCCTGTCCTTATATTTGTTGGAAGAGTGACGTAGATGCTGCCTAGGGTTCCCAGTATTTATGGTTGTGGTGAGGGGAGGGGACTCTGTAAGTCTGTTAGAGGATTGCTTCCTATCCTTCCTGTTTCTCCTCTGGCAGCTTGTGAGACTCAGCTGCCAGTCTCTTTCCGGCACCTGATCCTACCAGAGAAGTACCCACCTCCAACGGAACTGCTGGACCTGCAGCCCCTGCCTGTGTCTGCTCTGAGAAACAGTGCCTTTGAGAGCCTTTACCAGGATAAATTTCCTTTCTTCAATCCCATCCAGACCCAAGGTGGGTATTTGAATCTCATCTAGTTGGAGGCCTTTAAGGTCACCCAGAGTTAGGCATGATCTGTGGCAGGCAAGGAAGGGGGCCTTCAGGTATTTGGTAAGCCTGGAGCTCATCAGCATGGTTGTTGGGGGCCTATCAGGACATTTTCCTTTCCTAGAAGTCCACGCTTAGTATCAGATTTGTTTTGCCGTTCTGCATGTCTTTTTGAGGAGGATCCAAAGAGCAGTGCTTTGCAGTAGTTTGCTGTCATGTTATTTCTTTTTTTTTGAAGCAGGGTCTCTATGTAGCCCATGCTGGCCTCAAACTCCCAATCCTCTTATACCTGCCTTCCAGATGCTGGTGGTACAGGTGTGTGCTACCACTCCCAGCACATGTTGTTTCTGATGCTCAGGGTATTAATACCTGCCTCCAAAGTTCCAGTGTTGAACCAGAGTGTGTGGCATTGGTTGAGGATCTCTCACCCCCTCGTTATAAATAATACCTTTATTCACAAAGCAGGCTCTACTTTTGTAAGTACATGACTGAGTACAGCATCAGTGGTTTCTTTCTTCCCACTAATCCTTTGAGTTTTTATTGAGTGCAGCAATTAGTGCCCCATGTTATAGTTTGAGAAAACTGAGGCATAGAGAGGTGCTCCAATTGAACTAACTAACAAATAGCAGAACTTGGATTTTAAGTGTCTTGTTGCCAGGGCTTAGGCTCTCACCTTCAGTGTTAGACTATTTTCCAGAAAGTTCAAGAGAGTGCTAAAGAGGTGGAGCATGGTGTTTCGGTCCTTTTGTTTGTGTTCTGGTTCCTGAGAAATAAAGAAAAATGTTTGGCCTCTTCGCTGTGTTGCCTTCCCACAAATCTCCAGAGGACCTAAACTTGATCTTGGCCTTTTGCCTTACATGTTTTGTGAGAGGAGAAAGCAGGTGACACAGCCTGTGTTTCATGCCTGTCTCCTGAACCATTGTCACATTCGTTTGCACTGTACAACTGACTAGTTTGTGTCATGGTGTCCTCAGTCTTGACAAGTCATGCACCTCCTATTCTGTCTCTTCTCCCTCTTAATACTCAAACTGCTTCTCTTGGTTGCCAGTGTTTAACACCGTGTACAATAGTGATGATAATGTTTTTGTGGGGGCCCCCACTGGCAGTGGAAAGACCATTTGTGCAGAGTTTGCCATCCTGCGAATGTTGCTGCAGAACTCAGAGGGGCGCTGTGTCTACATTACTCCCATGGAGGCCCTGGCAGAGCAGGTATGTGTTGTGCTGTGGCCTGTGGATCCCCAGTAGCCATTTTAGTTGTGATTCTAGATCACAGTTTTCTAAACCCTGACATTTGCAGGGTCATTTCCTGTCACTTAAAGGCTAGTGTGAGAATAGAAGGTAGCATGAACCAGGCATGGCGGTACACACCTATAGCCCCAGCTGCTCAGGAGGCTGAGGCAGGAGGATCACTTGAGCTCATAAGTTGGAGACTGGGCAACATAGCAAGACCCTGTCTCTAAATAAACAAACAAATAAATAAGCAAATAAATAAACAGTGTGAGATCTGTAGAGCAGCAGTTGTCTTATTTGCTTCTCTAGTTTTGCTCATATCAAATGAAAGATAGAAGTATGTCCAGCTGTTCTTAATGCTTCCCTCTTCCTGCTTGCCAGGTATACATGGACTGGTATGAGAAGTTCCAAGACAGGCTCAACAAGAAGGTAGTGCTCCTGACGGGGGAAACCAGCACGGACCTGAAGCTTCTGGGCAAAGGCAACATCATCATCAGCACACCTGAGAAGTGGGACATTCTTTCTCGGCGGTGGAAGCAGCGCAAGAATGTCCAGAACATCAACCTCTTTGTGGTGGATGAGGTCCACCTTATTGGGGGCGAGAATGGGGTATGGCTTCACCTTGCAGTGGAGACAAGGGGCTAGGACTAGACTAGGGGTTGGTGACTTTTACACTGGTCCTTGTGTTTGGTTCTGGCGCCAGAGACTAGAGACTTTTCCACAGAGGATTCTGCCTGCTGTCTTATTCCAAAAGGATGATGTGAGATATTTTGGTAGAACTCTTGGAAAATAGTGTTGATTAGTTGAGTTGGCTCCTTAGGGGAAGGGGAACCAAAGGCAAGAAGAATTAGATCAATTCAAGGTTGTTGGGTGATTCACAAGGGGAACTTGGGCAGAGGATGGAGAGGCTGAGCCTGAAGTGACTCTTTCCTTTTTCTTAGCCTGTCTTAGAAGTGATCTGCTCCCGCATGCGCTACATCTCCTCCCAGATTGAGCGACCCATTCGCATTGTGGCTCTCAGCTCTTCACTCTCAAACGCCAAGGATGTGGCTCACTGGCTGGGCTGCAGTGCCACCTCCACCTTCAACTTCCACCCTAATGTGCGCCCTGTGCCTTTGGAGTTGCACATCCAGGTAGGACCCACTCTCTCCCTCTCTCCTGGGATTCAGAGACCCCGACTCTTACCCAGGTCTTACCTTAGTTTGTTTTCTTCTCTCTCAATTTCCAGGGCTTCAATATCAGCCATACACAGACTCGTCTGCTTTCCATGGCCAAGCCTGTGTATCATGCTATCACCAAGCACTCACCCAAGAAGCCTGTCATTGTTTTTGTCCCATCTCGAAAGCAGACCCGCCTCACTGCCATTGACATCCTCACCACCTGTGCAGCAGATATCCAGCGGCAGAGGTGGGCTGGGGCCTAGCTTCTGGGGTGGTAACATTAAGTGAGATTAGCCCCCCTGAAGGGGGTCCTGTTGAGGAAGGCAAGGGGCTCAAGGCTGGGGTCTGCAGGTGGTGGAGGTCTCTTGGGGATTGGAACTTCTGAGCTTGTGCTCATGCCACCCAGGTTCTTGCACTGCACTGAGAAGGACCTGATTCCATACCTGGAGAAGCTAAGTGACAGCACGCTGAAGGAGACCCTGTTGAATGGGGTCGGCTACCTGCATGAGGGGCTCAGCCCCATGGAGCGACGCCTGGTGGAGCAGCTCTTCAGCTCAGGTAAGAAAATCTGACTGCACTGAGAGAGATTACATCTAAGGCTATCACCAAGTAGTGTATATTAAACTAGGAAGTGGGAGATACTTCTCTGCAGACAGAATTCTAGTCATTTTCACAGTATTCTTAGGATTACTTTATCTGTTACCTCATTTATCCTCCAAGACCCTTGTGATATAGGTGAGATAAATGTACTTTCTTGCTAGATGAGAAAACAGATTGGCATAAGCGAGTGCTTTTTCAGAACCTGGTTTTCCAGAGTTCTGGACTGTTGTTCACTAGACCTGGTTCTTCTGTGTGGACTCCACACAGAAGACTCCAGGGTGGTTAGATCTTAGAGATTCAGTACATGGTAGAGCTTTGGTTCTCCTTTGGGTGTTGACTGCAGTCTCTTAGTGAGCTGTGTCATTTTACTGAGGGCGTTGAGCATTCTGGCACTGCTTGATGGAGCCTCTGTGTCATTATTCCTACCAGAGTCACTTCCTCTCACTGTTTTAACCCTTGAATCTGTGGGGCATGCTTGGTGAGCTCGATTATGCTGGATAGTCCCAGAGTGTGGCCCCAACAGAATGGAGCTATCTCTCATAATACTGTGTTCTCTTAGTTGTGTCAGACCTTGTTCCTATCCAGCCTCACTCTTGAGTTTTGAGATTTTGTAACACAAGGTTAGCCACCTCTGCTCACAGGCAGTATACCTGCTTCTCTAAGGAGCCCTTCACTCAGACTTCTCCCCTCTGTTTCTCAGGGGCTATCCAGGTGGTGGTGGCTTCTCGGAGTCTCTGCTGGGGCATGAATGTGGCTGCCCACTTGGTGATCATCATGGACACCCAGTACTACAATGGCAAGATCCATGCGTGAGTATAGTTGGTACTCAAGCCTCCCTCCTTAAACGAACATAAATTGCAAATACATAAGGCGAGATACTACAATAGCCATTTTTTTGTGTGTGTGTGTGTTGATAGAAATTGAACCCAGGGCCTCACACATGCTGGACAAGCACTCTACCACTGAGTTACACCCCCAGCCCTGTTTGAGAGAATTTCAGTTTCAGGACCTAGGCTCACTTTTACATTTTAGTCATTGTCCCACCATATTTCAGCAGGTTGAAGAAATAGGACCTTAGAGCCAGGAGGAATACCAGAGATTAAGTCATTAACCTATTTTAGAGATTAGGAAAGTGACTTGGTCAAGGTTGCCACATCTATGTAGTGACAAGTAGAAGGTTCAGGCTTTCTCAGAAAATGCGTGAATGATTTAACTCTTTGATTTTTTTTTTTCCAAAAAATGTAGATTATTTTGAAATGAATTTTTTTTGGGGTTATTTTTTTCATGGTACTTGGGTTTGAATTCAGGGCCTAGAAATTGCTAGGAAAGTACTCTACCACTTGAGCCACACCTCCAGTCATTTTTACTCTGGTTATTCTTGAGATCAAGTCTAACTTTTTGCGTGGGCTGGCGTGGACCACGACCCTTCTGTGCTTCCCACAACAGCTGAGATGACAGGTGTGCCCCACCATGCCCAGCTTTTTCTGTTGAGATAGGATCTCATAGACTTTTTGCCCAGGCTGGCCTAGAACCACAATCCCCCCAGTCTCTGCCTCCTGTATATCTGAGATGGGCCACCATTCCCAGCTATTAGTTGAGATGGGGGTCTCATGGACTTTTTGCCTGGGCTGGCTTTCAACTGCAATCCTCCCAGTTTCCACCTCTCGAGTTGCTAAGATTATAGGCGTGATTCATGGGTACCAGCTATGTGTTCATTTTTAATGTCCAAACCTGCTTCTTGGTTTGGGTTTAAGTTAGATGATTTGATAACTTGTGAAATACACAACTCCTGAGTTTGAAAAGCTTGATTTACATATTTGGTCCATTAAGAGGACATTATTTGCTTTGCCCTCAGGTGTGTTTATAGCTTTTGTTTAAGGATGTTGAGCAACAAATTTATAACCCTTACACTTAAAAACTAAAATAATGTGTAGGTGAGCAAGTGCCTAAGCACACAAGTTCATAGACAGTTTTGTTGTTATTTGGTGTTACTGCCCCACCTTTGCATCTATTCTTCTTGTGATGTGGAAGGCCATCAGGGCTCCTGTGTGTGGTCTCCCTATTGATGTGCCTTTGCCTTCTTTCCCCTCTTCTCCTCCCTCTTCTCCTCCCAGTTATGTGGATTACCCCATCTATGACGTGCTTCAGATGGTGGGCCATGCCAACCGTCCTCTGCAAGATGACGAGGGGCGCTGTGTTATCATGTGTCAAGGCTCCAAAAAGGTCAGTCCTTGACTTGCATGATACTTTGACATCCTGAGCTTTGGAATACATTCTGTAATTTGTGTGTGTGTGTGTGTGTGTGTGTGTGTGTGTGTGTGTGTGTGTGTGTGTGTGTGTGTGTGTGTGTGTGTGTGTGTGTGTGAACTCAGGGTTTCATACTTGCTGGGCAGGTGCTCTGCCACTTAGGCCATGCCTCTAGCTTGTGTGTGTGTGTGTGTGTGTGTGTGTGTGTGTGTGTGTGTGTGTGTGTGTGTGTGTGTGTGTGTGTGTGTGTGTGTGTGGCAGGTATATCCCTATTCCCACTGTGTATTGTAACCA